ACGTGCACCAGAATCACGAACGCTACACTGCGGGGCTGTATTCAATCACCAACCCGCCACCTTCCTCTCCCGCAGTATGCTGGATTGTCCATTAATCATTTAGTCAGCAGCAGCAACCACACAGCAGTGTGAGTTTATGAAATGCATTGACGATAAAAATGAGGTTGCCGTGAGTAAAGGATTGGATTTGATCATCATGTTAGATAGTTGATGCACAGTCGTTTGTTGACTGAACCAGCGTGACCTGTTGTTTTGTCTTACCTTACAGAAATGTGATGAGATCATTGTGCTCCATCTGGGCTATCTGAACTATACCAAGTACCAAGTCGTGGTCACCTTCAAAGGCCTTGAAATATCACGTATAAAATCAATGTCAAGTTTGTGGTAAGCGACAAACACTTGCAACATTTGTCTTCCAGCTCATAAACAAACTGTGGGATATTGTCTTCTCATTGCTGCATTGGATTTCTTATTTCTTTTTTCCAAATCTCTTTATCTCAGCGGTCAATCACGGCATTTTTTTATCATTCACATTTTTATTGCGTTTTATGGGAACAGAGAAAAGAAAAACAGAAACGGGATAGATAACGACCACTGAAGAAACAAAAAAAAAGCAGACAAATAAAAACACACACAAAGGGCAAGCATTGGACTAACTCATCACCATACTAACTCTCCCATATCATCACACCAGTAGCTCAAATGTAGGGCTGCACGATTTGGAGAAAAAGTCATGTTGCGATTATTGTGGACAATGTACATCTGTCTAATGCAGAGTCTCTATCCAAAACCTGGAGGAGGAACTGTACCTGAGTGTATTAAATAAAGAGTATAATGTTTAGTTAATAATTTACTGTTAGTATAACAATAATACTCTACATTCATTATAATTTCATATGATAGTTTACCATTTTACCACTAGTCGAATATTAAATCCAGTTATAGCTGTTTCATTTCTGTGGGTCGTTTTTTTTATTTAATCCTTGAAAAGGCTCTACATTGGTCTTTAACTTGTTAAGTACTAACTTGTCAATAATCATATTGTTCAGCATTTAATGATTTGCTGTAGCACGTCAAACATTTTTTAATGTCCCGCCCAATCCAGGCTGTGATTGGTCGGTTGACGAAAAGTGACTGACAAGCACATCTTTGTGAAAAGTTGAACATGTTGATAAACAAAAGGCACCGTTACAGCTAACGTTAAATGGCCAGCGAGCCAAACTCAAACGTTCTTTATTTTCTCCCAGTTTTCTTCTGTCTTACCGCTTCAGCTGCAGACGATGTCTCTCTGTCTCTGTAACAGAGACCAGAGCATCGGCATTTGTCTCGCTGCTCCGTTGGCACATCCAGCTATGTTTTGAACGATAAGAGGCGGGGCGGGAGGAGGGTTACGGTAGGCTGTTGTCCTAAAAGTTACTGGCCTACTACTCATAAATAATTTGTCTCATTGCACATAGGCGTATGTGTTTTTAGGGGCACATGCGAGAGCCCGGTGTGGGCGGAGATAATGAGCAGAATGCAGCGCACACGGAGAGCGTAACAAACACCTTTTGTGTTTTATTAAATCGCACGCTTTTGCGGTTATGTAAACGCACATGACGACATCACGATTGAGATTGCGATTAGATTAATTGTGCAGCCCTACTCAAATGGCAAGTATTCTGTCATTATCATCATCATCAAATGTTTATAAAGATGTGGGTAAGTCCCAATGAGCTTCTGGCCGCTATTCAATAGCACAATAGGAGGGCAGTCACCACGTCTTGTTGGAATAATGGCACCTGTACACGCTTTCATCGGACCACGTTACCAAGGCAGGGCCCAAAGTTAACTTCCGTTCTGTGCCTTTCCGAAACTAGACCCTCGCCACTTCCACTCCGACACGAAGTGAACTCTGCTCGGAGTCACCCTCACAGCCAAATCGAGCTCCCTAAAGGGGTATTTGATCCAACTTACCCGCGACAACTTTCGGACAAACTACCCTCTCCCCCCGCATAAATAGGATCTGACGTTACCGCTGCACTCACTACTATAATATGTGTATTATAAAAAACACAGTTGTATTGTTTTTTTAACAACCCACTATCACTCCGCCCTCGTTGGTTTCGGATGCCACTCAATGTGGCGGACCCTCCGCTTGAACGCGCAAACGGAGTGGAAGTAGTAGGGAGAGGGAGGAGCAAGCTGTAGAGGCCCGGGCTTTTCTCATTTCCCAAATTTCTGTCTCCTCGATCCTCGAGCGTGTGACCTGGAAATCGATCTCAGCACGCCATCTTGAAGGACATCTCAATTCTTACATCAAGGAGCGAGGATTGAGGAGGCTTGCTGGAGGAGCTATAAGTGAGGATACATCTGTGTATCCTTTGCGGAAGTCTTTTCAGCCGCTGTGATGTTTACAAGAGGCGTGACAAGCAGCTGGACCAATCCATAGCCTGAGCAGGACGCTGCAGTGTTCCTGTTGTTTTCATAAGATGTATCAATTAAGCCTGTTAAAAAGAATCAAATGCGCGATCAAACGTTCTGTCCTTCGTTTGTGTAGCGCCTCATAAGCGCTGTTCTAACCGCATTCCTTAATGTCATTTCACTTTGATATCACTGATGTTGTTATTGTTGAATGTGATGCAGGATTGTAAAAATGAACAGTAAATAGCAGCTGGATGAAGCGTCTCCCCAGTGACACTGTGCGCATTTACGCACGAGCCACAGCAACACAAATTAATAATAAAATCTCCCGACACGCCAACAGGATCGGTCAGGATCTGGTGTTAATTTATGTTCTGTGTTCTTCCACACATCCAAAAGGTCTCACACAGAGTCCAGTTTCATACAGTAGAAGTGTTTGAAGTAAAGCAGCTGTCCTCCTGATCAGTCCTGAGCTCCATCAGAGTCTAAATGTGGATTATAGAAGCTAAAGTTTAATTCTGTTTCCTCTCTCTGTCCTGTCAAGTTTATTACTGCAATTTTTTTCTGTTTTGTCCCACGATATTTGCTGTGACATCACTGCACGGATGGAAATGTTTAAATGACTGACAGCAGCCGTTCTAATTATCAAAGTAAATCGTTAAAGAAAACACTCATACATCAATAAACACACAAGAAAGAAATCGCCTGGAAAGCTACAGGGACCGGTGGAGGTGGGGGTAAAACGTCCACCAGATGCTGTTCTCTAAATGTGATAAAATAATTAGTTGGTGGGGGGCAGGTTGATTTATGCGTATAGGCCTAATAAGTTCCGTTAATGTCCGAGCCGATCCGCGCATCACACCAATTCAGCTGCTATAATCGTGACAAAACAGATGCTGAAGTCAAATTATTAGGCTGTAATATCAACCAGAGCATTCAGCACTGATCTGTTTCATGTTTTAAGAGCCTAATAGTGCCCATGTAGTCTGCACGTAATTCCAGCAGTAGAGTCCTGTGATGACAGCTGTAATTTGGACTATATGAGATAAATGTTAGACTACTGTGTCATTTTGTAAAGGGACTGATGATGAAACTAGCTAACGTTATTTACTTGTTATGGATTGTTTGAGGAAGTCTGCCGGAAGTTAGGTTTGGGCCAGAGTAACGCACATGCACAGTTTGTTTATGTTGTTACCGCTGAAAGCGTTTATATGCGAAAACAACACCAACATTATCAAGTGTGAATTATACCATACTAGTCTTCCCTCAATCCCAGCATTTTAACTCTTGTTGATTCTATCCCTTTTCTTCTCTCTGTTTTTCCTCAGTTGAAAACGTACAATCCCACTTTCTCGCAAGTGGAGATCTGGTTCCGGTTTGTCTTTGTGGTGTTGACCTTTATGGTGACGGTAAGCACAGATAAACCTTTAAACGTGACAGTGAAGACAAGATAACTAGTGTAAATCAGAGACTTAAAACTGACACTTACAAACGCAGGACTAACGTTTCTTTCTCTGCGTTTCCCAGTGTATGTTTGCACACTCACTGAGGAAGTTTTCTATGAGGGACTGGGGCATAGAACAGAAGTGGATGTCTATCCTGCTTCCTTTGCTGCTACTCTATAATGGTGAGTTTCCATATTACCTCTCCTCAGGTCATATTTTTACCCTTAACTTAGTCCTCAGGTAACACACTGGCTTCCCCACCCACTATGTCACCTTTAAACCATTACAGCCTTTTCGTTCACAGCCAAAGAAGGAACTGTGGTTTAATGTGTCAACGGCACATGTCCAATTTCAAAGAAGTTCAACTTGAAGGTCAGGTATGTTGCTTATTATGTATTTTCTGTTTCAGATCCATTTTTCCCGCTGTCATTCCTGGTGAACAGCTGGTTTCCAGGGACATTGGACACTTTCTTTCAAGCTCTGTTCCTGTGTGCCCTGCTTCTCTTCTGGCTCTGTGTTTATCATGGCATCAGGGTTCAGGTGAGTCAAGTAGAATGCTTAAACTTTAACGGCCCCCCTCTCCTTTTTTAGGTAGGCGAATCTTGTTTCATGTGTTTTTCATGTTGCTTCAACAGGGTGAGAGGAAGTGTCTGACGTTCTACCTGCCTAAGCTGATCATTGTAGGTCTCCTGTGGCTCTCAGCAGTTACACTGGGGATATGGCAAACGTGAGTCTGACGTCGCTGGCCACTAGCAGCCTGATTCAAACTGTGAATTACAACAGGGTTGGAAATATCTCCTCTCCTTTTCTGAATTTGCAGGGTTAATGAACTCCAAGACCCTACTTATCAGTATAAAGTGGACATAGGGAACTTTCAGGTGAGACTGTTAAAAAAAACAGAGTAAGGTTGGTCTTATGAAGTAGCAGTGTTTAGTCCTCCATTTTCCCAGCAGTTCCGTAAAGTCTTTCTTTCTCTCTAGGGCATGAAGGTCTTCTTCCTGGTTGTAGTTGCCCTTTACATCCTCTACCTGATCTTCCTGATCGTCAGGGCTTGTTCTGAACTCAAGAACATGCCTTACTCAGGTATCACAGCATACCACCCCTCCTTGCATTTCCTTTCAAGTCAGTTCCTTTTACTATGATAGCATTAATGCGCTGTGTTTTCGATCACTAGATCTCCGGCTCAGGTTTTTGACAGCGCTGACGTTTGTGGTGTGTTGTTATAAGGTGCGTTTTTTAGGAAAATACAAAAACTTAAAGAACCCCCTTTGTGTTTTTTTTTTGTTTTTTTTTTTGTTTTTTTTAGAAGGCCCTTTGTGGTTAATTTGGTTTAATTTGATCCTGTTGCTCTTTCTCCTCCAGCATGGTCATTCTCTACCTGAGGTTTGGTGCCAAGGCTCTCCAGGACAACTTTGTCGCTGAACTTTCTACTCATTACCAAAACTATATCCTTTCAAATGATATTTTATTTCAACTGTGATTTTACTTACATATACATTGTGAGGTGGCATGTTGACGTGTTAAGTATGTGGGAAATTATTCCTTAATTCTGGACATACCAGCTGAATTTCTGTCATTCTATGGCCTACTCAACTTTTACTTGTACACATTAGCATTTGTGTATTCTCCCTCTAAAAATGCCCTTTATGGTAGGTAATGCAGCACAATTTCAATGCAGTAGGTAATGAATTCATTTCTCTACCTAACTGGTTTTGTTTAATTTCACCAGACTCCCAGTTGAAGGATAATCCTGCTTTTTCAATGCTAAATGACTCAGATGATGAAGTAATATATGGGTAAGCGTAATTCTTAATCCTTCCATTTTTGGAAGTAGTATTCAGTGTGAACTTGCATAAACCAACTGATGTTTTCTTTGTCTTTGCAAAGAAGTGATTATGAAGACATGCCTTTACAAAACGGACGCGCTATCAAAGCAACCGCCAAGTACCAGGATGAGAGCGACAGTGACTGATGGGATCTTTGACTGGCATGTCTTCTTTTGTGTCCCTGTTGGAAACTGTGAGAATACATCAACCTGTCGTGTGTGTGTGTAAATAAGGAGTACTTGCATTGTTAATACGAAATCATATACTGTTAAGTGTACATAAATATATTTTTTAAAAAAAGGGTAGTTCCATGTCTACTGAATGTATTGTACTTTTACTGAAAGTTGAGGCATGTTGCCACTCAAACTTTTTCTTCATTGTTTATGCTTTCAATCTCATTGAAGACAAAGGAAACAAACACTGATGTACAACAATTTAATTTTTGTAAACTTTTCTCATAACCAGCATTTATACAAGCTGATCGGGAAAAGTGCCAATATTGATTAGCGATGTGTGTGAAATCAGCTATTTTTAATGCTTTATGTTGAACCACTGTTGTTGCTTTATACTTTGTCGTTTTTGTCCATTCCATTCCTCTCTCTGGCGGTCTGAGCTTAATGAGATGGCAGATATGTGGCCAAAGCTGAGTAGCTTTATACTGGCGGTTAGAAAGTAAAGGAAGCTTATGCTGCAGCAGCCCTAAGTGCACTCCAACAGCAAATTGTGGCTCATCAGCACTAAAATAATTGATAAACGGGGAATTCCAGTGCCATAGCAGTGTTGGCTGTTGACAAACTCTCTTTGTCCTCAGACATTTATAAATAACAAATAAATAAAACAAAGGGAGCCTTAACTGGAGTAGATACCTCTGATCTTTTACTACTCCTCCTACCAATTCTTCCCTTGGAAAGAAGCTTTGTAATTGCACTTGATTAATAATAGTATTTATTTTGCTGACAACATTTGATACTGTATTATCTGACTACATGGAAGGATGTATTTTGATGGATTGTGTGGATTTTACAAAACTTAATGTAAAAGGACTACCGATCTGAAACATTTCTTATTGCAGCACAGAGTAGTTATATCATTGGCCAAATATATTTTGCCTTATGTAGAACATTTCATTTTGAATAATCATTTTTTCTCCTGTAACTTTCCTTATATTGCCTTCAATGTGAGACTTGCTGCCCTCTCCTTTGTTTTGTAAGGCTGGTATTATGGACAAGAACAGCCAAAACAAATGTGCTTCTGTCCTTAACAAATAATCTCAACATGTATTCTAATCTAGATGGTGCCTTGTCTTTACATCACTGTTTTCTTCTAAATGGGCTGCAGTCTAAAATGTGTAAATGCTTTGACAGAAATGTACATTTATTTTGTTTCAGTGTGAATGTAGCTTATGGTGGTTAAATTGGGCTGTTGTGGTTTGTGATATGTTGGAAGTTTTTGCAATTTTTGTTGCTTTGAGATAAAAGCTGTACATGTAGCACTCTGTCATGTCACATGTAAATAAAGCAAGTATACACTTAATAAAAAAAAAACAGTTTATTTAATATATAGCTATCATAACATACTGGTTCTCAAATATGTAATAATAATAGTATACATTTCAAACACTTCAGGTACAAGTAGTTGATTCAGATGCCCAGCCCAAAAACATTGACGATACAGTACATGGACTTGTTCTCCCATCTCACTGCACAACTTCCTGTTGGGTGTAATAAACAATAAATTAAATCACAGTATTTCCACTTCCACATTAAAGCCAGTGACAAAATCCTACAAGTTTCTGGCCGCTGACCACTCAAAAGCTTGAATGAAGCGTTTATTTTAAGATGGCTGCCTTGCTCAAGAGCACACTGATAGTTGGTGACAGAAGAGAAGGCATTACAAATTCACATCTCTACTGCTTTTGGTGCTTTCTCTAATCATACATGATAGTCATGCAAACTGTGGTCTTGAAAACATAACTTATAGTACCACTCATACAACACATAATAGATTTTTCAAAAGCTGCATGTAAAGTTACCATCAGTAGAGTTTTCCCAGAAGCATGCGCTGGCTGTTTGCAGACCTGCTCCATTTTTCTGCATGATGATACAGGTTACTGTGGGAAAATACAAACACACATTGTCTTTTAATATCAACTTCAGAGCCCAAGAACAATGAGAATAGAACTGCTTCACTAGTTAATATGACTGAGGCAGCAGTGTACATACCAATATATTTGAAAGACTTCCCTAGCTTGCTGAGTTGACTGAGGCACTGCTCCACTACGCTGGCGGTCCACTGGTTCACTCTGCTGTGCTGGTAGGCATTTCCTCCTATTGCTGCTTCTACTGACTTCAGAGACAAAAAAGTGGTGTTTGGTTGAAAACTGATAAACCCACTCAATGGTAACGTTATACATTGTAATGCTAATACAAGTCAATCTGCCTCATGTATCGTACAGTATATGTTATAAATCAATTACTTTGTATTCCGCATCATATATCACAGCTTAACCAACAACATATAATATAAAACTGTACTTAAAAGTCTTTGTAATACGGTTGTAAATCATATGTTGTATGGAAGGTGCCTAACAACCGTTACAGTGTCCTTAGCAACCAACAGGTCGCTAAGCACAATGCTGCTAGCTAGCTGTAGTAATGAGCCGATAAAATCTAAACTCTGTGGATAAACAGACAGGCATCATCAAGGCTGTCTTTTGCTTACCTCTTTAATTATTTTGCTCACTTCTTCAACGACGAATCCAGTCTGTTAGGTGAGAAACAAGAGTGTATTTAAGCTAGCCAGCCGACATCGCTGCTCGCCTTACCACTTTCTAACCAACCTTAGAAAAACTTTAAAAGTTCAAATTGTGTGGTACTAACGTTATCTGAGTGCTATTTCTATGTAACGTACATGTAATAACTTATAGTAGGTATCAAACTCACCTCATCTTCTGTATGGAACTCGTCCATGTTTACTAACGTTACTGCCTCCAATGTAAAATGAACAGGATAACCAGGAACAAGACTTCCGGTATTTCTTCAGAATAAAGATGTTGTCTTTACGCTTGAAAACCTAATTTTAACTACGTTAACATGAATCCCTTTACAGCTCGGCTCATCGGCGCTCTGAGCTATGTCTGCTTGTGGTAAGTAGTTGTGTGCCAAATTCTCCAAGATAAAACATAACATAACTAATGGTCATAAATCGAGCTAAAATAATTAAACGTTTTACTTAACGGTAACTTCCCCAAAATAATGACAAGCGCCCAATAGTTAACTTAACGTACCAGAGCTAGACAAGGCAAAGATCACGCAGCAGGCTTTTGTCAAACAAAGAAAAGTATGCAATATCCATTAAAATGTTTGGTATTTTTACTTGTTGATTGGTTTAGATGGTTGTCAAATGTGTCACTTTTTAAAAACAGTGACGTGTATTACATTGTATTTGTAATGACAGTTAACTGTTACTGCTTTATAAAACCTTGAAAAGAGAAACACCGAAACACCGCCCACTGCAGGTGTAACACCAAAAATCAAATCGTCAACAAAGCCTCTGGCGCTTAACTTCCCATTTGGGTCACAGAATCTGGTCACACATTTTGGTGTCACACCTGGTCACCTGTAGAAAAGGTGACGCAGTTTCACACTTGCGGTTATTCGCTGTCTAGATGACGCTTTCAGGTAGGTTTTACTAACCAGCTCTTCTCTAACGTTACTCTTCTGTTTTATTGATATCCCACGCAGTCTTTTGGCTTTACGTATACTGTCCAAGGTTATGTTATAGCGTTTGCATGTCGTAAAAATGTATTAACTGAACGGTTGTATGTATGCTAACCACACACTGTATGCTAACTTAACCGCTAAGTGCTAGGCTAACTGTGCTAGCTAAAGTGAACGGGCCGTGTAGATGGAAGGTGCGAGATGTGTTTGTAGAAATGTAACGCTGACGTTAAAACGTTACTCGTTATTTTGTTAGTAGTTAGTTAAAGTCGTTTTGCTTTAGCAGTTGGTGGTAACTAATCACAACTTAGCTAATTTACCGTCGAATGAAGCACACACCTTACAGTCAATCGGGTGAAACTTTTATTACGTGAGTTACAACGTTGCTATTAATTTAACTATGTTTCATGGTTCTGCTGAAATACACTTAGGGTTTCTAATTGTTGCTTGGTGTGAGAGGGGACG